AAAATAGAAAGGATAGAAATTCAAAGCAGTCTACTCCTCAGATAGAGGTTAGCTAAGATGGCCCTATGATCGGACAGTCACAGGTTCAACTCCCCGGACTGACAACATCAAAATGTGGGTGGAAAAGGTGAGACACCCACACCTGCCTCCACTCTCGTTTGCTCCACTCTGGGCCCTCGAGCAAGGCCCTTAAACCCACATCATCTGCTCCCGAACAGGTCTCTCTTGAATCTTTTTAACCCTCATATGTTTTAAGAATGCTTTAAAAATCTTTTAAAAAGCATCAAAGTTACAAATTCCAGTCATAGCTTTTATCTCCTGAACAAGCTGAACCTTATCATATCTGAATGGCTAAAATAGCTAAAAGTGTCTAAAATCTAACAGGAAGTGAAAGAACAAGTAAACAAAAAGCAACATAAATGTTATTTTTAAAGCTAAAGTAGCCACTGCTGTTCTAACCTTCTTACACAAAATAATGTTTTTGAAATAATCTTTTATTATCAGTTTCACAAAATTTACCAAAGCAGTCGTGTTTCTTCAGCAGATTTTTATTTTATCTGACTTTACGGAGCTCAGCCGCTCTGTCTGTTCTTTGTATAAATATCTTTTGACAATTTGTTTGAATTACTGAGCTCATATAGATGTTTTCTTTGTGGTTTATCAGCTGATTTGAATAAAACCAGCAGGAAAGGTTCAACATAAAGCATTTTGCCTTTGATTTCAATCCCTAAATAGTGCAATTTTAATCAAATCTGCTTTCATCAGGCTCCAGACATAAAGCCACACCGAGGTGAAGGCACAATGGTCACAGTGTGCTCTGCCTGATGCCACATGACATTTATTTGCATGAACATGCAACACACAACCAACCGGTCGTACAAACAACCATTCATATACATACTACTGATGTCTATGAGATCAAAGATATCTTTGTGAAAGTTAGATTCTAGTAACTTGTGTGGATAATAAAAATTAAAAAGGATTGGAAACCCAACTCATTAGCACATGTGTAACATGTTAAAAATTAACCAATGTTATATATTTTGTTTCTGAGACCTCTTATCTAGACTGAATCCATTTAAAAGAGCTAAAAACAGTGTTGACATTTTTACTTATTCTATTCGTAACTTTACAATGAATGTGCTGTATTTAAGCTGTCTTAAATGTCCTAAACACATTTCGCTCTCAGACTGCAGGTTGTGGTTCCGAGAGTTTCTAAATGTAGAATGGGACGCAGAGATTTCAGTTCTAAGGTCCTGAAGCATGTTCAATAATCCAGGTATGAATCTAACAAGGTTGAGTCAGGTCCTCGGGACAGATTCTTCTTTGTTGCAATGTAAGAGTGCGACAGTTGAACACGGAGGCCTCCGCCCCTGTTTAATGATACCATACCATTTTATTTATAGAGCACTTAAAACAGCTACAAGGCCAACCAAAGTGCTGTACAGACAGAACAACAGACAACACACGAAGCAATATACCATACCATACCATACCAATTTATTTATATAGCACTTAAAACAGCAACAAGGCCAACCAAAGTGCTGTACAAAAGAACCAAACATGCACAGCAGACAGGAAAACATAAAATAGAAATACAGATACAAATAGCAGCAGAAGCTAACTAAAATGGCCAACAGAGTAGAGAACAGACCGGACCAAAACAAATCACACCGTGTTAAAGGCAAGCGAATAGAAGTGGGTCTTCAAGCGAGACTTAAAGATATATATATATATTGTATATATAATATACAAAATGAAGTAAATCAGAATATAGACATAAAAATGATGCAGATAATAAATGTGACAACTAACCAGTGTGGAGCATACAGGTTCAAAACACAGATCATCTGGTGTTGAATGCTACTGAATAGTAGTGAGTTTTTAAACAGGATTTGAAAACCGAGAGGGAGGGGGCATGACAAGCAGAGGTAACTCATTCCAAAGTCTTGGTCCTGCTACAGAGAAGGCCCTGTCACCTCTGCGCTTAAGACGAGTTCCTAGAACTGTGAGAAGCAACTGGTCCGCTGACCTCAGGGAACATGGTTGGACATACGGTTGTAGCAGATCAGAGAGATGGGGGGGGGGACTGTGCAGTGATTTGTAGACATACAGGAGTATTTTGAACTGGATTCGAAGGTGAACAGGTAGCCAGCGCAGTGAGGCCAAAACTGGTGTAATGTGCTCTCTTTTGCCTGTACTGGTTAAAAATCAGGCTGCTGCATTCTGGACCAGTTGTAGTCGTGCAATGGAGGTCTGACTGATACCAAACAGGAGTGAATTGCAGTAATCAAGCCTAGATGTAATGAATGCATGTATTACTGTCTCCAGGTTATTTTTGGACAATATGGGCTTCAGTTTAGACAGCCGCCTCAGTTGGAAGAAACATGATTTAACAATGTCCAAACCTGTCCAATGATGGACAGGTTCTCTTCACAAAGATGGCCTAATTCACTCCTCTTTCAAACCATCGTTCCTCTCTATCAAGGATGTGAACATCTTTATCCCTGAAAAAGTGACTGCTGGCCTGGAGATGAGTGTAGATTGCAGAGTACTGGCCTAATGATGTTGATTTTCTGTGCTGGTCCATCTTTTTGGCCAGCGGCTGTTTAGTTTCCCCGATGTAAGACTGATCACCCTCCTGACACTGAACAGCATACACAATATTACTCTGTTTTTACGCTGCTCACACAGACTCATGCTCGTGCTGCTGTTTGGCGTATTGTTTTTATGCCACTAGTGCCTAGTGTATTTTTAGTTAACGTTTTTCTTAGTTCGTATCTTAGATCTTATTAATGTTTTTCTATTACATTTTTTTTGTTGGATGTAACTGGGACCCTGTGTACACAATTTTGTTCCACCACATGTATGTGGTGCGTATGACAAATAAAGAATCTTGAATCCTTTGTACCAATGGACTGGATCTTTGGGATGAACCAGTCTTTGCCGTAATGTATTTTGGGGTTTAAAAGCCACTGGGACGTTATGTTTAGAAAATAAACGTCTCAGTTTCTCTGATACTCCTTCAACATACAGAATGACCACTGGTCTGGGTCTGGGTTCCTCCTTTTCACCTGATGGCTGACTGGAGTCCTGTTTGGGTTTCTTCTCTGCTTTCAGGAAGGCCCAGTTAGGATATCCACATTGCTCCAGGGCCTGGCTTGTGTGGGATTTCTCCTTCTGCCTGGCTCCCGAGTTAGTGGGGACGCTCTCTGCTCTGTGGTACAGAGTCCTGATGACTCCTAACTTGTGCTCCAAAGGGTGATGGGAGTCAAACTGCAAATACTGGTCTGTGTGGGTGGGTTTGCGCCGCGGTACACCTCAGTTTGCAAATGTCCTCTATCAGAGACTGAGACCTCACAGTCCAAGAAACCCAACCTGACGTCTTTTACATCTTCTCATGTGAACATTATATATTTATCCACAGAGTTGATGTGATCAGTGAAACGTTGAGACTTCCTGAGATTTAATTTGTCATCAATATACCTGAACCAATGACTCAGTGGTGTCCCTTAAAAGGACGTCAAGGCTCTCTTTTCTACCTCCTCCATGTACAGGTTGGCCACAATAGGAGAAACTGAAGACCCCATAGCACACCCATGTTTCTGCCTATAATATTGCTCCCCATATGTGAAGTAGGTTGACTGCAGGCACAGTTTCAAGAGTTGACACAGTTGCTCTGTGGAAAGCGTGGTCCTGCTGCTCAGAGTGGTGTCTGACTTTAAATCTAATCAGACCACCTCCACTGCATCATCAACAGGAATGCATGTAAAGAGTGACGTGACATCAAGAGAGACCACTGTGTCATCAGTTGCCATGACGACATCCCTCACCTTATCCACAAAGTCAATGGTTTGAGTTCAGTTGTCATGCTCTTCTATTGTGAAACCAACATCTAGATTTTGTATGTGAGGTTGACACTTTGTGTCTACTTTTAAGACTTTCCCTTTTGAAATATCCTATAGTTAGGGTTGGCTTGGGTTTCCTTAGCTATCCCTTAGTTCTGCTGCTATAGCTTAGACTGACGGAGGACAAACTGATCACGTCTCCTCACGCTGTTGCTGTCATTACTAGTTCTACTCTCTATGTTTGTATTTGTAGTTATTTCTATCATTAACATGTTATTATTTGCCTTTCTTCCTATACAGTAAAAACCACACCTGGACCAAAGAAACAACATCTGGACCATAGAGACTACCTGTCCTCTCAAACCCCAGACAGTCAATGCAAATGGCTGACTATCCTGAGTCTGGTTCTGGTTCTGCTGGAGGATTTTTACTGTTATAATGGAGTTGTTTCTTCCCACTGTCGCCTCTGTGCTGCTCAGAATGGGAGATTGTTTCATAAGGAACTGTATGTGAATTTATTTTTATTAAAATAGGAAGGAGTTCACTGAACTTGGATGTTTGTTTTGACTTGTTTTTGCCACGTAATGATTTTTGCTGTGAATTTTTGTTAAACAAATAACCTGAATTGAATGATGACGTTCTGGCTCTTGAAAGCAGCTGGACTTTTTTTTTCCATTGACTATTGTATTTATGACGACGAGGAACTGTCCTCCTGTAAATTGTAGTAAAATGTCGCTCTTTGTCATGTTTATGGTGATTTTTGGAACATGTACAATCAATTTAGTCTCTTGTTGAGAATTTATTTTGTCCCAAAATGCTTAAGTTGTCATTTCAGTCCACAAAAGATTAGTAGTCATAAATCTGTTCTTTCTGTAATGACAATGTTTTGAACACACAAGCAAACAACCTCCTAAGCCATTTTAGTTCTAGATCCTCTCATTAAGGTCTCTGTTTGCAGACAAAAGGGAACATTTGGGAGGTATCACATATCCAACAGTAAACAGCAGAGTCCAGGTGCTGCTCCAGCTTTTGTCAGGGTTTAAAGGGCAGTAATACATCATGACATCATCCTATTTGATCTTTTATTGTTCCTTTATTAAACATAATGTTTCTCTTTCCTCCAGGCCAGATGAGAAAACATCTGTAAATGTTTGCTGTAGGTTTTTGCAGAGAAATAGAAGGTAACAGGAGGATGACCTGCAACCATCCTACTTGCACATTGTCACCCGCACGTCTTAATTATTCACGTTCTAATTTTTACAAACCATTTTCTTTGGTCAGAATTAGACATTTTTCAGTTGCTGGTTCCCTGTGAAAAAACAAGGAAGTAACTTTCACTTTTCTACAAAAATAATGACAAAAAAATTATCTGTTAGTTATTGAATTTTACTAATTCTAGTAGATTTAGTTTAGTTTATTACATTTCTAACACGTTAAAATCTCTCTGCTAGTGTAAAATAAATAAAAATTTAACTAAGATTTAAAATAAAATAAATGAAGAGTAAAATTAAGCTAAACAATCTTTACAAGTGAAAAGCCAGCAGTAAAAAATGAAACATACTTAAACCAGTTGTATGTAAAACCAATTTAAACTGTTCAAATTTCACAATTTCCACATGGAGATATTCAGTTCAATTAATTTCAATTCAATAATACTTTATTAATCTCAAAGGGAAATTGAATGTTGTTGTAACGCATTATCCTCATTTCATTAAGATAGATACTGATGGATCCAAAGAAACTGGCCACAGATGCTGTCTGATCCATCCACCCAGACTCGGCTGGCCTTCAGTTTCCCCAGGCTGCAGGACCACCTGAATGCCAGAAAGAACTCCTTCCAGAATGATGGCCACTCTTCCCAGCAGCCTGTTGAGCTCCTTGTCACTGCAGACAGCCAACTGCAGGTGCCAGGGGATGATCCCGGTCTTTTTGCTGTCACGAGCCACGTTTCTTGGCAGTTCCAGGATCTCCTTGGGCGATCTTAGGATCTCAATGGTCAGGCACTTAATCACAGTTGGCAGGTAGACGGGAATGCATGCACGGAGCCTCCTTTTCAATTCATTTGCGATTTGGGGATGTAGTTGAGATATTATTTGAGGTTTTGAGATGTTAATCAGCTGCTCTTGGTTGTTAAAAAAAACACCTTATTGCCATGGTTACACGTCATAACAAATGTTCAAAAGTAAGAACGTTTCAGTAAAAATCCAAAAAAGTTCAATCTGGTCCTCTGGACATTCAAAAAAAACAAAAAACAAAACAAAGCAAAAAAATGTAGATACGTTTCGTTTCTCATCCGAAAGACTTCCTCAGTCTGAGGTGCTGTATTCAGCTAAGTCTTATAAATAGCACCTTCTCAGAGTGGATCAACCAGTTTGCTGCTGACAACAAAAACCAGCTGCTCACATGCTCAAGAAGGACCATCAGCCTAACAATGGCTTTTAAACCCCAAAATACATTACGGCAAAGACTGGTTCATCCCAAAGATCCAGTCCCCCGGCACAAACAGAGTAATGTTGTGTATGCTGTTCAGTGTCAAGAGGGCTGTGATCAGTCTTACATCGGGGAAACTAAACAGGCACTGGCCAAAAGGATGGACCAGCACAGAAGATCAACATCATCAGGCCAGGATTCTGCGGTCTACACTCATCTCCATTCCAGCGGTCACTCTTTCAAGGATGAAGATGTTCACATCCTGGACAGAGAGGAACGATGGTTTGAGAGAGGAGTAAAGGAGGCCATCTTTGTGAAAAGAAATCGTCCATCATTAAACAGGGGTGGAGGCCTCCGGGTTCAACTGTCCCCCTCTTACAATGCTGTGATTGCTAGTATCACTCAGCCCTCTGTGAGTAGTAAACAGCCATCAGTGTGCTAATGATCCATTGTTTGACTGATGGTCCTTCTTGATCATGTGAGCAGCTGGTTTTGGTTGTCAGCAGCAAACTGGTTGATCCACTCTGAGAAGGTGCTATTTAGGAGACTGAGCTGAATACAGCACCTCAGACTGAGGAAGTCTCTCGGATGAAAGATGAAATGTATCTACATTTTTTGGCTTTGTTTTGTTTTTTGTTTTGTTGAATGTCACGAGGACCAGATTGAACTTTTTTGGATTTTTCTACCTGGATTATTGAGCATGCATCAGGATATTTTCAGTAAAAATCTTTCCAGCTGCACAGCATCTGATACCAGAAGAAACAATCATCCAAAAAAAGTGATTTACATCCAGAAAAACAAAGTTTCCAAAAGCAATATCTCAGAATGAAAGTAAGAGAGCTACTCCAACATGCAGCCACCCTGAGCGGCACAATTCTAGAACATATATAGACAGAGGGGTGAGTGATTTTTTTTTTTTTTTTGTCTTTCATGTACACGTGGACCTACATCTGGACCTACCATTCTGTGTTCATTTGTCTCTCCTTCCTGTTCCTCTCAAACCAGCCGGTTTGTTTCCAACAAACACCACATTATGAGGGAAGCTTACGCTGTTAGATGGAAACAGACTAATTCAGACCGTTTGTGCACACTTCAATAACGTTCATACATTAAATAAACTATTTTTAGCTAAAAAAAAGATTTAATAATAGAACTAATTTATAATGAGCTGAATGTTTCACTGTCAGAATAAGAACAAAGAAATGATCAACTTGTGAATGAATGGAAGAGGAAAGTAAATTATGTTACAACGTGAGCAGCTGTTTTGCAGTTTGAGTGCGTCATGATTCAGGGCGTGTTCTTCAGCAGAGGCTTTATAAATGTTTCTGTGGTCTCTGGTTCTGATCGACCCACTGATCCTCCTGCAGCCACTTGTTGCTCCGCTCGTGCAGAGAAGGTCTGGACTATGAGCATGCAGGCTGAGGAGTACAACCGCAGAGGTAACCTCAGGATTCATTCCCTACAGAACCGTTTCACTGTCCGAACGCTGAGTCAGGTGGTCTTCTGAACGCTGTTTTGGACTTGAAGTCTTTCTGCAAACTTCCAGCTGTTTCAATGACTCAGGTGTCAAAATGTCCCTTGATCAGGACAGTATGCTTTTAAAGCTTTTTTTTATTTTTATCGTTTTTATATTTATTTATTATTTTCATTGAAATTCATTCAGACCTCTTTAAATCCTTGAAAATTAGATTATTTTTGTTGCTTTCTTTCTGTATGTTTCTTCTTTTTCTGTCCTTTTTGTCTCTTTATGGCTCTTTTTGTTTTCTGATGTATCTTCTTTACCACTATGTGTGAATTTTTTGTCTTTTTTAATGATTTAATACTTTTAATTAATTTTTCAGTATTATCATTTGTGTGTGTTATTTTTTTCAATTAATTTTACTCTCATTGATGTTATTGTTTTCATTCAACCTGTATTTACACAGGTTAGTCTCATTGAGCCTTGGGAACTCATTTACAAGAGACCTGTTATTGTTAAGCCCTTTGGTATCAGCTTCTGTTTTAAATGACTTGACTTTTTATGCCTTTGTGTGTCAATTCTATTTATCTTATACGTTATTTTAGTCTCCTTTTGCATCTTGTTTGTCTTTTTATGTCTCCTCTGCTTTTTGGGTCTATCTTTTTGCTCCTCGTGTCTTCTTTGCCTTCTCTTTTAAATACTTACACTAACATAAAAAAATTCAGCGATTATTCAATGTTTTTAGCAAATATCAGCCGTCCTTCATCGTATAAATTTATTTTTTCCCCTTTTCCGAAGAAAATGTACATTTTTTAGTCCTGTTTAAAGTATTTTTTCTCTGAGTGGAGTTGTTTCTGAACAGGTAAGGAGCTGGTGGATTACATCTCTCAGTACCTGAGCTCCATCAGAGACAGGCGGGTCATTCCAGATGTGAAACCGGGCTACATGCGTGAGCTGCTTCCTGACACGGCGCCTACAGAACCGGAGGACTGGGAGGACATCTTCAACGACATCGAGAGAGTCATCATGCCAGGAGTGAGCTCCTGTTCATGTGTTTTATCAAGTGCTTATGAAATGTACTAAATAAAAAGTGTTTGTGTTGTTTTTGTGCAGATTGTTCACTGGCAGAGCCCTCACATGCACGCCTACTTCCCCAGTCTGTCCTCATGGCCGTCCATGTTGGGAGACATGTTGGCTGACGCCATCAACTGTCTGGGCTTTACCTGGGTGAGTAAACAACAAACAACAACAACAACAAATATGAAAAGGAGAGTAGATGTTTGGAGGTTCTGTGGAAAAATTATGAGCTGTCAATATCTTACCTGCTGCAGATAGTCTCTGACTGATCTCAATCTAACTTTAATGAAGAGATAAGACCAAAAGGAATTGTTGTCACAATAAAACAACTCCAATCTATAAAAGTTTAAAGTGGTTTATGTAAATACGCTTTAAAAAAATATTTACAAAGTTTATCTTCATTTCTGGATCTTGCGGCTGGCATTTGTTAATATATCTAGCATTTGGTGTAAATAGCTATATAATATAATAATTTGTGGTGAGGTAAAGATTTACTGTCAAAATGACAAAATGATGCCTCAGGAGTCATGTTTGATCCAAACGTGGCAGCAGGAGGGGTAAGTACCATTCGCATAAACTACTTTAAAACTTTTGAGACTGAAACAGCTTTATAGAAGGTGCCAAATGTAAAGTTTTAGTTAAAATATTTTAATTTTCTATCTAATGTTTAAAAAGAAAAGGCACCTAAAATAACCAGAGAATGTAATCTAAATGTTGAATCTAAAACTAAAGATTATTATTAATAACTTTATTTAACCCAGCTGGGCCTGAAGGCAGCCTAACAGGCATGTTTTGGATTGGGGAAGGAAACCGAAGTACCTGGAAAAAACACACAAATCTGATTAAATCTGATGAATCCTCAGAGGAAAAGGCAAAGAAGTCAAATCCCTCTGAAGTGAAACATCTGTCCTCTGAACCAGGTCTACAGGGATGGTAGTATGATGGTAGATCATGTAACTTTCTCCACATTAGCTTGTTCATCTTCAGTAAAATACCATTGGACTGATTTAACAAACCTCTCAGAGCAACCACTGGAAGTTAACAACTTCTGGAGCCAACCTTCAAGATGGCCGTCACAGCTCATCAAACTTGGAAAAATACAAAAATTGCTCCAATCCACTTGTTTAGAATCCCACCTCCAAAGATCTGAACTGTCCCTTTAATGCGGTGTTCTGGTTGTGAACAGGCATCCAGCCCAGCCTGCACAGAACTGGAGATGATTCTGATGGACTGGCTCTGCAAAGCTCTGGGACTTCCTGTCTTCTTCCTGCATCGTCATCCTGACAGCCGAGGAGGAGGAGTTCTGCAGGTTTGCTAACGCAGAGTCAACATTCACACAGTAATGCTGAGTCATTGTTTACACTGTTAATTTTTCTGGTTTTCAATCTAACTACCTCTGTAGACTTTGTGTTATTTTCGCCATTCATAAATTCAAACGTTCGGCTCGTTCAGGAGATGGCTGCTGTAACCTTTTTTGTTGTTGTTGTTGTTGTAAATTTTATACTTTTCAAAATGTTTAAAACAAGGAACTCAGTGTCCCTTGCCCAGACATGGGTTACCAGGGCCCCACCCTGGAGCCAGGCCTGGGGGAAGGGCTCATCGGCGGGTGCCTGCTAACCTGGCCCAGTTGGGCTCAGTGCTAAGGAAAAACATGGGTTTGCCTTTTGCCTTCCTGTGAGCCCACCACCTGCAGGTGGGTCCATACAAGTCGGGTGCATGATGACATGGGCAGTGGCCAAATGGCAGTTCAGAGTATCCAGCCTTCTTGGAGTTCTTGGCATGGGTGCTGGAAGGTGCGCCAGCTGGGGACTCCATTACTGTTGTGGGACTTCAATGCACATGTAGGTAATGACAGTATGAAGGGACATGACTGGGAGGAACGGCCTCTCTGATCTGAACTCGAGCAGCGTTCTGGCGTTGGACTTCTGTGCTAGTCATGGTTTGTCCATCACCAACACCATGTTCGAACATAAAGGTTTCCACATGGCACTTTGGCACCAGGATGCCCTACGTTGTATATTTATGATTGACTTTGTAGTTGTGTCATCCGATTTAAGTCCATTTGTTTTGGACATTCGGGTGAAGAGAGGAGCTGAACTGTCAACTGATCACCACCTGTTAGTGAACTGGATTAGATGGCGGGGTAAGATGCCAGACAGACCTGGAACACCCATACATGTAGTGAGGGTTTGCTGGGAACGCCTGGTAGAAGAACCTGTCAGAAAGATTTTCAACTTGCACCTCTAGGAGAGCTTTAACCACATCCCAGCTGAGGCAGAGGACATTGAGTCCAAGTGGGCTATGCTCCGCATCTCATTTGTTGAAGTAGCTGCCTTGAGCTGTGGCCACAAGGTTGTCGATGTTTCTCGTGATGGCCATCCTTGAACTTGGTGGTGGACACCCCGGGTTAAGGAGGCTGTCAAACTGAAGAAGGAGTCCTATCGGGCCTTGTTGGCTGGTGGGACTACAGAGGCAGCTGAGGAGTCCTGGATGACAAAATGGTCCACAGCCTTGGCTGTTGCTGAAGCAAAGGCTTGAATGTGGGAGGAGTTTGTGAGGCCTTGGATAAAGACTCTCGGTCAGATCCTATCAGATTCTGGCAAACCATCAGACTTCACTGTGTTCAGTGAATATGGGGTGCTGTTGACCTCAAACAGTGATGTCATCGGGAGGTGGAAGGAATACTTCTCAGACCTTTTCAATCCCACCGGCACGTCTTCCATGGAGGAAGCTGATTCAGGGGACGTTGAGGGTGATCTATCATAACTATGGCTGAGGTTGCCGAGGTAGTGAAAAAGCTCAGAGGCAGCAGGTCTCCAGGGCTGGATGAGCTTCGCCCTGATTTCCTTAAGGATCTGGATGTTGTGGGGCTGTCTTGGGTGACACACCTTTGCAACATCGTGTGGACATCTGGGGTTGCGCCACTGGATTGGCAGACTGTCGTGGTGGTTCCCTTCTTCAAAAAGTGGGACCAGAGGGAATGCTCCAATTATAGGGGCATAACTCTCCTTAGCCTCCTGGTTAAGGTCTATTCATGGGTACTGGAGAAGCAAGTCAGTTAATTGGTCAAACCACAGATCCAGGAAGAACAATGTGGGTTCTGTCCTGGCCGTGGAGCACTGGATCAGCGCTTTACCCTCACTAGGGTCCTTGAAGAGTCATGGGAGTTTGCCCATCCAGTCTACCTGTGTTTTGTGGACTTGGAGAAGGCTTTCAACCATGTTCCTCGAGGTACACTGTGGGGGGTGCTCCATGAGTATGAGATTGGGGGCCCATTGCTATGGGCTGTTTAGTTCCTATACAAGTGGTGCAAGAGTTTGGTTCATATTGCCAGTAGTAAGTTGGACCCCTTCAGGGTGGGAGTTGTTCTCCACCAGGGCTGCCTGTTGTCACAAATTTTCTTCATAACTTCTGTGAACAGGAATTCTCGGTGCAGCCAGAGGGCGGAGGGTTTCCAGTTTGGTGGCCTCAGGATTCCATCTCTGCTCTTTAGAGATGATGTGGTCCTGTTGGCATCATTGTGTCGTGATATACAGCTCTCACTGGAGCAGTTCGCAGCCGAGTGTGAAACAGCTGAGATGAGACTCAGCGCCTCTAAATCTGAGGCCATGGTCCTCAATTACAAAAGGGTGGATTTCTTTCATTGGGTCAAGGGTGAGGTTCTGCCTCAAGTGGAGGAGTTCAAGTATCTCTGGGTTTTGTTCACAAGTGAGGGAAGAATGGAGCGTGAGATTGACAGTCAGATTGGTGCAGCTTCTGCAGTATTGCGGACTCTGTGTCGGTCCGTTGTGGTGAAGACGGAGCTGAGCTGTAAGGCAAAGCTCTCTGTTTACCAGTCAGTCTACGTTCCAACCCTCACCTATGGCCACAAACTTTGGGTAGTGAGCGAATACAGGTAGTTGAAATGAGTTTCCTCCGCAGGGTAGCTGGATTCTCCCCTAGAGACAGGGTGAGAAGCTCAGTCATCCAGGAAAGACTCAAAGTATAACTGTTGCTCCTCCACATTGAGAGGAGCCAGTTTAGGTGGTTAGGGCATCTGGTAAGGATGCTCCCATGGCGCCTCCCTAGGGACGTGCTTTGGGCATGTCCAACTGGGAGGAGACCCCAGAGAAGATCCAGGACACGCTGGAGAGACTTTGTTTCTTGGTTGGCCTGGAATGTCTTGGAATCCTCCCAAAAGAGCTAGAAGAGATAGCTGTGGAAAGAGATGTCTGGGCCTCCCTGCTCAAGCTGCTGCCCCGCAACCCGACTTCGGAATAAGCAGAAGATTATGGCTGGATGGATGGATGACTTAAAAGTTTTAACTAGTTTTTTCTCTATTTTTAGCTACTGTTCTGCCTCTTTTACCTTTGGCATTTCAGTTTCAGCTTTTGCAGTAAATTTCAGCAGATATTCAGCTCTCAGCGTTCACTCTGGATTTTGAAGAAAACACATTTTTTCAGTTGAAATAATAAAGTTTATTGAATTGATTAAGTTTATTGAAGTAATAAATCTGTTTAGTCTCCGTTTTACCTTGGTTCTGATCCGATCACTCATTGACTCAGAGCACAGTCAGTGAGAGTACACTCGTTGCTCTCCTGGCAGCCAGGAAAGACAAACTCCTGCAGCTGCGGGCCGACCTGGACCAGGACGTGGACGACTCGGTTCTGAACTCCCGACTGGTGGCATACGCTTCGGTTCAGGTCAGCCTTTTGGATGTTTATCCTGCAGCTTCTGTCTGAGGCTGAGGTTTGACGTTTGATGTGTCCCTGCTCTGACAGGCCCACTCCTCTGTAGAGAAGGCGGGTCTGATCTCTCTAGTGAAGATCCGGTTCCTGCCTACTGATGAGAAGCAGTCTCTGAGAGGGGACACTTTGAAACAAGCGGTTCAGGAGGACAGGAGGACAGGTCTCGTCCCTTTCATGGTGGGTATTTTAAACATAGAATCAATATTTTAAAATATTTAAGAAATGTAAAGGTGGCCTGCATTAGTCAGAGTTTTAACTTTAGGTTTAGATGTTTTTGTGCTAAAATATAAAAATTTTGATTGTTTTTCTTGGTTTATTACATAGCAGTGTCTAAGTAAGATCCTGACATGTTGATTTTAATTGTATAAAAGATCAACCCAACGTGTACATTTTTGGTCTGGGTTTTTCTGAAGATGAGTCTGCGTCAGGAGTCAAACCTTCTCACACCCACCGTGCAGCCCTGAACCAAACATTTTGTTATTATTTATGCAAAGTATGCTTTATTTACTGTTGTCCATAATGACATCACCAGGTCCGTGGATGTTAAATGTTCTGTTGCTTTGGTGCTGCTGGACCTTATAGCTTCTTTGACAAAGTGGACCTGCTGTCCTTCTGTCTTGTCTTCAACACTATGTTGGTAGATCTGGTTCAGCAACCATGTAGTGCTGGACCAACAGAATTTTCTCTGTCATGATGGTACTCTGTCTACCTCTACTGCCTCTCTTTTTTGTGGTGTGCCGCAGGGCTCCATTCTCAGTCCTCACATTTTCTCTTGTCATTTTTTCATTCAACCTTTATTTATACAGGTTAGTCTCATTGAGCCTCAAGGACTCATTTACAAGAGAGACCTGTGACCTGTCATATGCTGCCGCTTGTATCAGTTATAGTCAGACACCACTTTTTTTTCCACTGTTCTGATCTTTTTTGGTGATGAGACTCCCTGCAACTTTGGTGCTCTGACATCCAAGTTCAGACCCACAGTTACAAACTTGGGGTGTGACCTTTGACAAGGATTTGAAGTTTGGCAAACATGTAGTCTCTGTAGTCAAGGCCATCTTTTATCAGTTACATATTTTTATTAAAGTTAAGCCTTTTTTAAATTGTCTGGACCTGGAAAAAGCAATTCCTCCTTTTATCAGTTCAATGCTTGACTCCTGCAATGCTCTGTATGTTGGAATTTCCCAATCTTCCATTAGACGTCTTCAACGGATCCAAAACGTTGCGGCCCGTCTTTAACCAACATCCCCAGATGTGAGCACATCATCCCGGTTTTACAATTGATTTTAAACTTGTATTGTTCACTTTAAACACCCAACAGTCTCACCTCACTTATTTAGCTGATCTAGTAGCTTTCAGTGAGCACGAGAGGACCTTTAGATCAACTAACATTTTTACTTTTGTCCCAAAGTTCAAAAACAAACTTCGGGGAAAGCAGACCTTTTTGGTCACTGCACCCAGACTTTTGGACTTGCGTTCCACCTTATTCAGGCAAGATTTTAATACCTTGCTGCATTTTTGTATTATTTTTATTGATTGGTTTTAACTGATGTATTGTGAAGCACTTTGTGCACCTTTTGGTCGTTGGAGAGGGATTTAAAAATAAATGTTTATAGATTGATTGATTTCATTATATTGCCAAACAGCAACAACCTTTGACCCCCACTGACTTGTGGAAAAGTCTGAGCAAAAACATGTCTGGCACATGACTGCAAACATGATGAAGCTACTTTATTCTAACGTTTCCCTCCTGAAACTCACCTGTGGTTGTTTCCTTCCAGCTGTGTTCGACTCTGGGAACCACAGGAGTGTGTGCCTTTGACAAACTGTCTGAACTGGGACCAATCTGTGCGTCTTCAAACTTTGCTTTAAAACACTCAGGTTTTTAGCACCATTTATTAAAATCACCTGTTGGTTAATTATTGCTTAACAGGTGAAGAAGAGGGCCTTTGGCTACATGTTGATGCTGCGTACGCCGGATCAGCTTACTTCTGTCCTGAGCTCCGCTGGTCCCTGCAGGGCATTGAGTTTGCCCAGTCTTTTGTTTTTAACCCTTCAAAGTGGATGATGGTCCACTTCGACTGCACAGCTTTCTGGTGAGTCATAGCATTATCTCACTTAATTCTCAGTCTTAACAGTAAAATATATTTAAAAAAAGTGTTTAAAATATGTTTTGTTGTTTTTCAGGGTGAAAGACAAATATAAGCTCCAGCAAACCTTCAGTGTTGATCCCGTTTATCTCAGACATGAATACTCACAGGCAGCCACAGACTTTATGGTATATCATTGGTTTTTAATTAAATGCAAACTTTAACAAAAAAGAAAGTTACTTAAATTAATAAAAGTATTTTTTTTTCCTGTCATCCAGCACTGGCAGATTCCTCTGAGCCGGCGTTTTCGGTCTCTGAAGCTCTGGTTCGTCATGCGCTCCTTCGGGTTGAAAAACCTCCAGGCTCACATCAGACATGTCCGTAACCTTTAACTCATTCTCTGAACAATCATTCAAAATCAAACCAATCAAAATATGGTACCAATACATTATATAGTCTTAAATGTACTTGGTATTTATTGGACACTGACTTGTTACCTATAATGTACAACTCTGGTACTTACTGAGTACAAATTTCATACTGATTTGGCACAAACCTGGTTCCTACTGAATATAAACCTGCTACATAAAGTCTTAGTACTTAAAGTACCAATACATACCTGGTACTTATTGGGTAAAAACTTGGTACTTATTGGGTACAATTTTTGTGCTTAGAGGGGTACCTGCAAAGTACAAATCTAGTATCTACAGGGGTATTTGCAAGGTACTTTCCAGGTGTGCATCTAACATTTAGAGCTCATACCTGCACTTACTGGGTATGCTCAATGTATATATCTAGTAAGCAAGTACTTACAGGTACAATCTTGTCACCATCAGTACTATGCGAGTATCCTTATTAATATTACATATGTACATTCTTGATAAGTACCAGATATGTATTCTGTAAATACCAAATACATATTTGGTAAGTACCAGGCTGTTTTAGGTATTGGTACCCAAAAGCCAGTTGCTCAAATCACAACCTGCTTAAATTATAAATCTTTTCTTCTTGCTTTAGGGGATTGAGATGGCTAAACTCTTGGAGTCCCACATTAAGAGTGACCCAAAGTTTGAGGTTCCTGCTGAGAGGCACCTTGGCCTTGTGGTCTTCTGTCTGAAAGTATGCAACGCTCCTTTGAATTAAAAACAGTCAACCTTAAAGCTGTGCTCAAATAAGTTTTGCTGTTTGCATGAAGCAACTTGTCCTTTACAGGTTAATTATTACAGAGTAGAAGGGACTCAGTCACACCTCGTTCAAAGATGAACACTGTGAAGTTCAGCTGAATGCCAGAGCGATACTAGTAAACATAAAACTTGTCAGAGGACAATGAATGATTGAATGAATGATTTCATTATACTGCCAATGGAGACAAATAGCAATAACCTTTGATCACCACTGACTAGTGAAAATGTTTTCTCCTTAAAAAAAAAAAAAAAAAACGTCCAGATGACCTGACTGAACATTTTTGGAATTTTACCTGAATGATTGAGCATGAACTTTGTTGTCAGAGGACAGTTAAAATGGAATTTGATGCAGTAAAACTCTTTTTATTTCATTACTGTAGGCAGGAAACACTTTGACCCAGGAGCTGCTGAGGAGACTGACCCGCTCCGGCACCATGTACCTCATCCCTGCAGAAATTCACAGCAAATTCATCATTCGGTTTACAGTCACCTCCCAGTTCACCACTGCAGAAGACATCGTAAGGGACTGGGGGGTCATTTCTAAAACTGCTGTAGCTCTTCTAGCTGAGACGCGGGCTTTGTTTAACCAGCAGAGATCGGGAGTGGATGAACTGAAGGGAGCAGAGGAAGATCAAGACCTTCACTCAGCTGAAACATCTGATGAAACAGAAGATGTCGTCACCCGAATGGAAAAAGCTCACTTGGATCTGTGGATTGACAAAACCTGGAATCGACCTCGAAGGCCAATGCGCTCTCTGAGCTGCAGCAGCGAGCCGCTGCCTCACACCTACACTGGGCCGCCGTTTGGCCGGGAACCGAGAGCTGGGCTCAGAGAAGCTGCAGGTGGACTCCCATCAGCCACAGAAACTGGCTCAATGGTGACAATTACAAAGATGCCCTCAAACCTTCCGGGCAAACAGGTCCTGAAGAAGTTAACCAAGTTTTACAGTGTGCCCAGCTTCTGTAACCAGTGGGTACAGTGTGGTCGGTACCAGCTGTGCTGCCCTGTGAAGGTTCCACAGGGAGCTCAGAAACACAACTGCAGGAGAATCAACTGCAAGTCCAGTTCTCCTGCAGCCAACACAGCCACCTCTGCCGTGTCTCTGGAAGCTGCCGCTGCAGCCGAGCTGCTGTAAGAACCTCGAACAGTTTTACACAATCGGGTCACCAGGGTAAGGTGGACCTCACTGGGCTGCAAATAGCTGGCAAATGGCAAGGGAGTTTTCAAAATGTCTCAGAACGTTCTTAACTTTCGTGTGTGAGCTGCAAAAGCTCACAGTTATATTGCTTGGATTTTCAACATGTTCAAAAGATTTGCAGGAAATATTCCCTCAAAATAATTACGATTCCCATAAATGTGGCCACACAGCTCGCTGGACACTTGGGTCTCAAACATTCATAATTCAGTAAGACTGCAACAGAAGATTATCCTATTTTTTATTTTGTCACCACCAAGTCTCCAGCAGTTGCGATGCCACCTCAAGGTAGTACCCAGAGCATCACAAAGTAATGCCATCTAGGTACTCAGATGCGTTGCCTCAACACCCACATCTTTAGACAAGCCCATAATTAACAACAGATTTACTATTTTCTTACAGTAACAACCCTCCTCTGTGCTGCTTATATATTTCTATCCATGGTTGATGTGCTGATTTCAATATTTTTAGCTGTAAGTGAATCCTTGTACCTAACTTTTAAGCAATCGTTCCCTATTTGGCATGCATCATATGACCCCTTACATTTGACCCGATCAGAAGCGGTGTAGAGTGTCGTGACTTCCTGTTTCAGCTAATGTCCTGTTGTTATCATAGTTTATAAAATTCAGCCGTAGCTTCTAGTTAGTGAAACTGAAATCTGAGTGCCGGCAAGTTCATGAAAAGAGGTGGAAAGAAATAAAAATAATAATACGCTAAGGATAAAGATTTAGAAATGTCCCCTGAGAGAACCTAACCACTTCAAGCACTGGTTTGAGACACAAAATTGTAAGAAAATGATCAAATTTTCATTAGAAAATCATACCAAAATATATGTATGCAACTTTTGACTCACTTTTCACTGGTAGTTTTTGAACACTGACAAAAAATATACAGCTAAAGCACAATAGAATCATAGAAACCGAGGTGAGAACAATTTGGGGCAGGTTTTAGATGGCTGCAGTAACTCTACGACTATTCTGAGAAAATTAATTTGGCAAAATTTTCTAACATGTTAAAAATTCCTGCAACAGAAGAGAGAGACCCTGTGACTAGGGAAGTTCAGAACCCTTACAAATGTGTCAAAACATTTCGGAAACCCTTGCAAATGCTGTTTGCTGCCAACAGTTGTAGTCCAGAGACACACAGGCTTTGCCTCTGGTGCTACATTGATGAAATTATTAAATACCAGAGGACTGATTTTATTTTTTTTGAATTTTTAAAAAGAAACATCCATCCATCCATTATCTTTACCCGTTTATTCCATTTTGGGTCACGGGGGTCGCCGGTGCCCATGTCCAGCAATCACTGTGCGAGGGGCAGGGTACACCCTGGACGGGTCGCAAGTCCATCACAGGGCCACATAGAGACAAACAACCATTCACTCTCTCACTCACACCTAGGGACAATTTAGAGTTACCAATCAGCCTAACATGCATGTTTTTGGTCTGTGGGAGGAAACCGGAGTACCCGGAGAAAACCCACGCATGCACGGAGAGAACATGCAAACTCCACCCAGAAGGCACCTGGACCGGGGTTTGAACCAAGGACCTGCTCGCTGAGAGGCATAAAAAGAAACATTCCTGTATAAAATAGATGTTCTAAACACACCCTGTATGACTTAAAGCCTCAAGAATAAAAGCAGGACTTGACAGTCCACTGCAGTCCTTCAGAGCCTGAGTGTTCCCTCTGAGATGGAGCTGTATATTTCCTGGCTCATGGGGATGTAGCCTTTATTGTCCTCCAGGAAGAATAAAGGGTCCTGGATGACACTGGGGTTGAAACCCTCTTCAGAAAGTTTCGTCTTCAGCTGCTTAAATGTTCCAGTCACTGCCAGAGCATCCTGCCCCATAAAAATAAAGATAAATCCACACTTTATAGTTGTTTTTTAACATTTTTATAGTTTTTGGTAATAATACATAATACAGACCAGTACTTACAAGGAACCAGATAAGTACCTAGTAATTACATGGTACATATGTGGGCTGTACTGAGTATAAACCTTTATGTACTGGGTACGTACTATGACCTTACCAGGTATGTACTTTTTTCATAGCTATCGCTTACCAGATACGTACCTGTACTAAATACCTACCTGGTACTTACCGGTTGTATAACATGTACATACTTGATACTTACAGGATTATAGAGACATAACTATTACTTGTCTGACACGTACCACATACCTTTTTAGTAAGCACTTGGAACTTACTAAAACCAATAATTTTTTACCAGGAAAATACCTAATACATACCCTATAAAGACAATATTGGGCTTTTACCCGGTATATTTCATGTAATTACCAGGTATATAGTAGGTACATGTCTTGGTTTTTGAGTGCAGTGCATATTACATATGTACCCAGTACATGTAGGATATGTGTTGAGTATCTAAAGTCAAGTACTATGTATGTACTTGGTACTTACAGGGAATGTAACAAGTACATACTTCTCAGGTGCATACCCAGTACAAGTATGTACCCAGTAGGTATAGGTATATACCCAATAAATCCATGGTATGTACCTGATAAGTAGTAAAAGTCTCTGCCATCCCAAGTACCAGGTACGTAAAGGGTTAGTATTAGGTTACGTATTGTGTTCTTTGTGTGCAGCAGGTTCTTCTTTTACCTGTATGCGTATGAAACGTGGCCTGGCGTAGCTCGGCAGGTAGTTTTTGATGTGCTGATAAATAACTTTGCCGTCAAAGTCCATGTTTTTTTTCAGCGTCAGAGCTGCCATTCCAATTCTTCCTTCGTGCCCTGATCACCCACAAAGGTAAAAAAGTAAATTTTGTGTCAGCTTTCCTAAAATTACGTGCAAAATATAGTTTGGTAATTGTTTTTGGTGCGTGATTTGCACCAACAAACATTCACCAACTTTGTGTTTGATACAGCACTGAGCCAGTGGAGGAGCCACATCAGGGTCCAATCCTCAACCCCGGTCTCCAGTTTCCTGGTCACTGAACCCCCCACTGCCACCAGTCAGCTATGATTCACCAATGAGGCGAATGAGTGACAATATTCAACATGCTTTAAATAAAGTTTAATATTTATAATAGAAAGTTCTGTGTGCATGTCAGTGGGAGAAACACTGTAACCCTTTTTACAGAACCCCTTGGACTGTGTCAACGTAGATAATTCACAATTTATTCTTAAACTTCTCCTTTTATCACTCTTTCTTTTAATGCAGTGATGGATGAAAAATCTGCATGTATATGGTTGTAAAAGTCTAAAAGGTTGGGGGTGATTGACACAGTTTTCATGATTTTCACAAGCAAACAAAATGTCTGCTTAAGGGGAGAGGGTCAAGGACTGGTGTACATCTTTTAACAAGAATATACCGGTAAATATTGGCCTTTTTTTAAATATGCCCTGTATAACTGACTTGTTGCTCTTCACTTGCCTGACACCAGTCCCACCATCTGTCGCACGGTGAGCTCGGGTGTGAGCGGAGTTCCCCGAATCTCTCAGAGCAGAGACACCGAAAACAAACCTAACAGACCTCCTGGGACTTTTGTATCTAAACTCTAACTTTCTATTAAATGTTAGTGTTTGGAGCGTCGTCATCGTACAGACATGCAACTTGTGCACATGTGACCAAACTTCTGCTGTGGAACACGAAGTCTGTTTGAAGGTCTCGGTGAGACGTGTGATCCTGCCGCTTTAGTTCTTAAAATTAAACAATATTAAAAGACCGATATGTGTAACCCCCAGATTACAGCAAAGATGTGTGTCTGTTTCAACTGTGTGTAGTTTATTGCAAACATCTGTATGTCTGTTTCTGTACATTTTAAACAATTTAGAGATAATTTTACGTTGGTATAATATTGTAGCGTTCCACAGATTGTGAGAGCTGCAATGGATGCTGGGTAGCCTTGTGGTAATTATGTGTGCATTGTTGAGTGTTTACAATGTTTCAGAGTGTTTGATTTTGTTAACGTCCTGTTCATGTTTGGGTTGACTTTTATGATTAAGTCTGTTATTGGCTGTAAACTGACATCATGACTCAGAGGTCGTTCCCGGTACGTATAAGGGGAAATGTACTTCCTATTGGAGGTTGAATATGTGTAATAAAGGGTGATGGTGCAAGATAATGACTTACTTGTGATTTTACTTTTAGCACATAGTTTTTATGTATCAACTTTACTTATAATAATAAATGTATTTTGTGAAAGTCAACATTTTATTGTATGCTTTTGTGGAGAGGGAGGTGTGTGTCTCCATAAAGAGTACTGGCATGTTTTGTACGCTTGTGAAAATGTTAAAAATTGTGAATCACACAATATTAGATTATACATCAACCTTTCTATGTTAGAGAGCACAGTTTCACCAAAACAAGATCTATTTCAAATCAGAATGTGTCACTGTTTAGCCTGAAAGAAGTTATGTATGTATATATGTTTTATATGTTCTGTTACCTGGCACCTTCACCCCGTACACGTTAGCTTCCTCAACAAAGTCCATGGTCAGTAAATGATCAGCCACCTCTGTGGTCGCCACATTTTCTCCTTTCCACCTGCAGACACCAGGCGGTTACTTTAAAAAGACAAAACTTTTTAAATGGAACGGTAAATGGACTGTATAGTACTTATAAAGCACCTTTCTACCTAAGCAAGATTGTATTGATAATCAATGTTGCTGCAGCCTTTCCACTTCAGCTGAGTGCATCATTCCAGTTAATAACCAAACTGTGACCTAATCAAGGTCTGAAAGAGCTTCATCTGTTTGGGTGATGGGTATCCTTTTTTTGTTTGACCAAAGTCCATCCATCCATTATCTTTTACGCAACCAACGTCTTCCTTTTTGGGTCATGGGGGTCATTAGTGCCCATATCCAGCAGTGACTCTGCGAGAGGCAGGGGACACCTGGACAGGTCTTCAGTCCATCACAGGGTCACATAGAGACAAATGAGACAAACAACCATTCACTCTCTCTCTCACACCTAGGGACAATTTAGAGTTACCAGTCAGTCTAACATGCATGTTTTTGGTCTGTGAGAGGAAACTGGAGTTACTGAAGAAAACACATGAATGCACGGAGAGAATATGCAAACTCCACCCAGAAAGATCCCCGGCTGAGTTTCGATCCAGCAATTTTCTCGCTGAGAGGCGGTAGCTCTACCAACTGCGCCACCGTGCTGCCACCAAAGTCTATCTTTTATTTTGATGGTCGTCTTTGATGAGCCATTGACAACATCCTGATGCTGTCACGGTCAGCGGCCCCCGCTGCCCCCCCATCTACCAAGCCTCTGCCACCTCCTTCAAGCTTATGTCACGGTCAGCGGCCCCCGCTGCCCCCCCATCTGCCAAGCCTCTGCCACCTCCTTCAAGCTGCAACCAGGAACCAACATTCATATCTTCAAGCAATCATCCCACTAACTAAATCATTTCTTTCCATTTCAAGTTTCTGTCTCTGTCTGCTTTTTATTTTATGTTGTTCTGCTTTGTGTGTGATTTTCTGTTTATCTGTTTCTGTTATGTTCCTCTCATTTCTCAGTCTGCTTCTCCACTCACTCCTCAGTCTGCCTCTCCACTCACTCTTTATCATTCACACCTGTCACTCATCAGCCACCTGCCCTGGTGCTCTCATTAACCACTCTCCCTCTGTCTCATAAAAAGCCTGTCTCTCCTGCACTCCTTGTCCGGTGATTGTTCTATGTTCTCAGACTTCACAATCCTCTTCTGCCTTGCCTGGTTTCTGCCCCCCCTGATGATCTGCTCTGCATTATTTCTAATCCAATCTGCCAAAAGTAAGTTTTGCTGCACCGACAGCCTTTTGTTTTGTTGTTTAAAAAATAAATTGTTTTGGTTTTTTGAACTCCTGCCTCACTCATCTCTCTGCAATTGGGTTCCAACATTGAGGTTCGTGACAGATGCATGCTCAATAATCCAGGTAGATAAATTCAACCAGGTGGAGTCAGGTCCTCTGGATGGATACTTCTTTGTTGAAATATTTCGTCTTTTATCCAAAAGACTTCTTTAATCTGAGGAGATGCAAAAGGATGGACCAGCACAGAAAAGCAACATAATCAGGCCAGGACTCTGCGGTCTACACTCATCTGCAGGCCAGCGGTCACTCGTTCAGGGATGAAGATGTTCACATCCTTGATAAGAGAGTAACGATGGTTTGAGAGAGGAGTGAAGGAAGCCATCTTTATGAAAAGAACCTGTCCATCATTAAACAGGGGTGGATGCCTCTGTGTTCAACTGTCCCCCTCTTACAATGCCGTTATCACTATTATCACTCAGCCCTCTGTGAATAGCAAGTGGTCATCAGGGCACTAACGATCAGTTGGTCCTCTTTTTGTATGTGAACAGCTAGTCCTGGATGTCACCGGCAAAATGATTAATCCACTATGAGAAGGTGCTGCTTATTGCAGCTCCTCAGACTGAAGTTTTGGATAAAATTTGACATGTTTCAACAAAGAAGAATTCATCCAGAGGATCTGACTCAGCCTTGTTAGACGCCTGTTGGCAGTTTTATTTGAACAGAACTGAAGGTGTGAGCTGCACCATGTCAGACAAACCAGAGAAAAAGAGCTGCTCAGCTGCTATCGTCATTGAAAAACCAGTAAATATTAGACCTTCTCAGTTATTATTTTATGTAAATTTTTGACATCTGGTAGTGATGATATTAAAGAGCCCTGGGAGCGAAGCTATGGTGGTGAGGACTATTTCCTGAACTATATCAACTTTGTTCAGAGTGGGCTTTGCATTGCTGGAGTAGATTTCTTGTTTGATCATAGTTTTTTTTTTTGGTGTGTGTCTTTGAATCTATTTTTGAACAAATATGTGTTTATATTTGCATGTACAACACAAATGTATATGAGCCAGAAAACACTGAGCTGAAGACTTTAAGAAACATCAACAAACACGGCAGCAAAACTTTGTTCGACTGCAAAGTGCATGAGTAAAATATGAAACAGGCCTCCTGGTTGACCGCATTAAAGCTGCTGGACTTTAATGCGGTCAACCAGGATCCTGAAAAAATGTAAGGGAGCTCCGGAGTTCCATGGAATTCAGGAAAAAGTCCTCACCACCATGTTGCAATCCTCAGATGAGTCTTGAATTTTGCTACTAGTTGTGCTCAAAATAAAAAAACTGCACACGGTAAACTCTGGTTGACAAACTAATTTACAGCAACGGCAAGGGCTACCAAAGACCTTGTATAACCTTTGACCTTGACTTGTGACCTTGATCTTAGAGCTTGGGCAATGACAAGAACATGTGACACAGATTAATGCGTAAAATATCTTCTGATTCATGTAGTAATAATTAGCCTTTAACAGCAATAACTGCTCATTTATAAAACTGTTTCCAGCAGCTCTTTACTGTTGTGTGTGCATATACTGTATATGTGTGTGTACATGTGTATATGTATATGTATTTATACTCTTTTGTATTTATTTATTTGTTAATTGTTAGGCTTCTTGATCTGGGACCTGAGTCCGAATTTCATACTATAAACATGCAAATGTGAGTTGGTATGACAATAAAAATCCTTGAATCCTTTGTTTCAGCCACTGACCTGAAAGTGTCTCCAATCCGATCCTGAAAGTAGACGAATCCCTCGTTGTCGATCCTTAACAGATCTCCACTGTTAAAGTAGACGTCTCCCTTCTCAAACACGTCCTTCAGCTTCTTCCTCTCTGTCTGCTGCTTGTTCTTGGCATATCCACTGAAAGGCGTTCCTACTCCGATCTTCCCCACCAACAAACCTGTCTCTCCTTGAGAGGAGGAAAAACAAACAGTTATACCTCAAGAAGAATAAAGCAGAACGTTGGTTTTGGGGGGCGAACGTGTCACCTTTTGGGACTTTAATGCAGAATCCTCTTGAGTCTCTGACGGGCTCCTCTTTTTCTGTGTCATATCTTATAAGGGCATATGGATATTTTAACTGGAAATGAGCAAACACAAGTGGCAAAAAACAAGTCTTTAGTAAATAATCAGCATGTTGTAAACATGGAAATTATTCAGCCAAGTTTCAAAAAGCATCCAGTCAGACTAATGAGTAACTTTGACCCTGAAACTTTCTCACCTTGTGGAGGAAATGCTCCCTGCCAATTGCTCCAACTTTTCCAATGTAGTTGAGAAAGCCAACATTGGATTCTGTCGCTCCGTAGCATTCACAGATCCGAATGTTCCCAAATCGCTCCAGGAAATCAGCCCAGGTGTCCGCCCTAATCCCGTTCCCCAAAGCCAGTCGCACCTTGTGATCCTTGTCGTTGTCCCTCTGAAAGAACAAAGAAAAGATCCTAAGGAGAGTTTGATTTGTGTTGAAGGTCCTAATGGTCCCTCCGATAGGTGTTAATGATCCTAACAAGTACTCTGACGTTTGTAGAGAAAGAGTTGTTCCAAAAGTCTTAAAAACAACATAAAACAGGCCTTTAGCCAAACAAGGCTTAAGCCCCCAGTATACTGCCGTGTACAACCATATGCAGAGGTACGCACGTACGTACGTAGAGGTACGCACGTACGTACGCAGAGGTACGCACGTACGTACGCAGAGGTACGCACGTACGTACGCAGAGGTACGTGCGTACCCCCCAGGGAATGTCCGTGCAAAGCTCCAATTTTTACGACCGCATACGTGGTGTCGCACAATAAACTGCCCAACGACGGACTGTTTTGTATGTGACACCAATGTATTAAATTCCCCTTCTTCATCCCTGATCTGGCCTTTTCTTTTGTTTTTTCGTCAAGAGGCAGTGATCTCTTCCTCCTCCGTTGATGCCATGACTGAAATGGTGAGAAATGAAGGAATTTGTCACGAGCGAATTAAACTCAGGTCCAGCGTGGCTGCAGGAGGGTCTGGAGAGTTCCTTGTGGACTGGTCTGATGTGTGGGCTGCAGAGCCAGCACTTCCTGTTTTTTTTATTTTTTAGATCTTTTAGAACAACATATAAACACAGAACACCGCTGCGGCGGAGGCTGCCAGCGCTCGCTTTTTTTCTTTTTTTCCGACATGTCAATCAATCCAGTAGGCGTGTCAGCAAATGACCAATCGGCGACCTCAATTTGTCCCAAAGGTAAACGCCCCTTGTCTGTGAAGCTGCTCTGCAGCTGCTCGGGGTGTATGCTGGAGTATCATGTCTGAACCCTCTGCGTACAGTACACGCGTATGTACGCATGAACGGACATACGCGGCAGTAAACTGGAGCCTTTACAGTTGTAAAAAATACGAACTACTGATTATTATTTGAGAGAACATCACTTGAAAATGACCAAAAAGCCTGTTTAAGATCTTTTTTAGGGCCAGCACTTCATAAAAACAAAAAATGCTAAACCAAAGCAGATTCTGCGCCGCTCTGAGGAAGCACCGTTTGCTTTGCTCTCGTGATATAAGCACGGTAATAAACGGGCGTTCAACCTTTGGCGCGTTGCACAGGTATCGCATGATCTCTCCTATGTACTGAACGACCGTCACGTTGTACTTCCTGCAGTCGTTCCAGAAGTTGGAAACGGAGAACTTGCGCCTCAGAACAACAGTGCAGCCTGGACACATAGAGAGAGACGCACAGATGTCATAAACAAGATCACACCGAGATCTGAGCCGGGGTCCGCGGCTTCAACTGAACTTTGAATACAAACAATGAGAGTCAGAGCCTGTTGTTTGAGGTCAACTATCTCCTCGTTTGACCTGCAATAAACTCGGTTTTATCATTAGCCAGAATGTGTGGCACCTCTTTCAATGGCTCCCCCAAGTCCCATGAGGAACCCCGCAGTGTGGTACAGAGGCAGGTAGACGTAAAGGACATCGTCGGTGCGCACGCCCGCCATGCAGCCGAGAAAAGAGGCCATCCATATCCTCTCATGGTTAACCACAGCTGCTTTAGGAAGTCCTTGAAGATAATGCTGCGGTTAGAAGCTGTTTTTATGAGCGTGCATGTGTAGTTCAAGGCCAGTCCGAGCACACGTGTGATTACCTGTGGTCCCTGAGGTGTAGATGTATAACGCTGGAGTTTTAAGGTTCACGTTGGCCCTCAGCTGTGGAGACAGAGGCTGATCTGAGGCCTGCTGGATGTGACCCGAGAGGCTCTCCATTCCCTCCACATCACAGCTGTCACTGAGGAGAAACACACGGACACCCTGCTCCCTCAGGGCCGGCAGCACCTCCTCTACAGCTCCTCGCAGCTCTGACACACACACGTCAAATTAAAAGACTGTAAAATCTTTACGGAGGACAGAGCAATGACAAATGAAACAACTGCTGGCTCAGCAGATTGATTTTCTGCTTAAAGTTTCTCCTGTACTCTTTTTGTAAAGTACTTGTGCAGCTTTTGTGCTTTTCACCGTTTATAAAACAAAATGTCCCGCTGGATTGTCCTCAGACTTTGAGCTTATGCAACATTCATAAAAAATATTTAACTTGATTTAAAAATAAAACACCCCCATAAAAACACATTCAGGTTTGTTCAAAAACACTGTTCTCTTTGAAATCTTTGTCTTCTTATGCAACTATTAGCGTTTAGCTACTTTTCAGCTTCTTTTAGCTACAACTTTGTTAATCTGAGCTACTGTTCAGCTTCTGATTTGCCAATTTTAGCTAACCTTTTTAAAGTTTTTGAAACTTTTCTGCTTCTTTTAGTTTTTACATACCACTACGTTACTTTTACTAGTTTTGAAAAATTTAGCTTCTCTTTGTGTCATTTTTGCCTAAATATCAGTTTTGCTGTTTTAAGCAACAAGTTTGTTGAAATTAGCCTTCATTTTGGTGATTTTAGCTACAAACATTATTAACGTTAGGTTTTTAACTACTGTTTTGCTTTATTTAGCTTTCAGGCACATTTTTTGTTAATTTTAGCTACTCTTAGCTTTTAATTACTGTTTTAGCTTCTGTTTTGTCAAAATTACCATCACTTTTGCTCATTTTAGCTACCGTTCAGCTTCTTTTAGTTTGTAATTAGCATTATGCTTCTTATAATTACTGGTTTGATCATTTTGTTTCACTTCTTGTCATTTTAGGTTATCCATTTTGCTACTGTAAGCTACAAATTGGCTAAAATTAGCATCTGTTTTGGTCATTTTAGCTTAGCCACTGTTTTTCTACTATACGCCTTTGGCTACTGTTTGGTTTCTTTTAGGTGTCAGCTACTGTTTTTCTTATATATTTTTTTTATTTTAGCTACTCTTAGCTTACTGTTTTAGCTTCTGTTTTGCAAATAGTATTAGCTCGGTTCATTTTAGCTACTGTTCTGCAGATTTTAGCTACTGTAGCACATGAATCTGATTCCTGTTTTCCACCTTTGAGTAAAATAAAACAGATATTAAAGACATGCCAAAATGTGACATTTGCTTTTACAGATTAAATGTTTTGTTCTTTCTCTTTTTATCCAAGTAAACAAACAAACAAACAATCCTCCATAAAGTTGTTTACTTTTCTATAACTGATTAAACTACATTATGGTACTTAAATAAAGACAGATGATTCCGGCTTGTGTCAAATCAAATGTGAAAATCATAAAACTATAAAGTTTTATTAAAGATCAAATGATTCCTGCAGGACTGATGTTTGGGAAGAACAAATATTGGTTGTCTCGCTTTGTTTAGGATGATAACAGTAAATATCATAAAAGGGTTCAGAGCTGCTGGGGCCTCTGGTCCAGTCTGGTCCATCTTACCGGTTCCAGTGATGAGGACTTTGGCTTCGCAGCAGGAGAAGCAGTGAAGCAGAGACTTGGATCTGATGTTGGTGTTCAGCAGAGACGCCACACAGCCCAGTTTGGCCAGTCCGAGCCAGACCCACACGAACTGGGGCTCGTTTCCCAGGAACAGGGCCACCGTGTCCCCCTCCTTCAGGTGCGCGCGCGTCTGCAGAGCTCTGGCCACTTTGCTGCTCTCTCTGTCCGCCTGGATGAAGGTGTAGGAGCTGTCCTCAAACACCAGGAAGGTCTTCTGGGGATGCTTCTTCACTTGGTCCAGAAAACAGTCCACAAGACTGAAGAACTTCCTCTGGATTCTGGCCAATCGGATCCCGATCTGAACGGCAGCGATTGAGTATCTCAAGTCTCCCAGAAAATAAGGGTTTGTCCAGAAGAGCCAAAAGGGCAGAACTGCCAGCAGACTGAAGAGAATAACTGCGATCATTGTGATCCAGAAGTTCACTGTCGGTCCTGCTGGGCCCACAAGAGGACTGGAGTGGGTCACATTACAACAGCTGAAAGCAAAAGTAGGAAGATCTGATACGCCTCCTGAACTTTGCGCGATTGTCACCGATAAGTAGACAAACACACAAGACTGTGGAAAAACAGGTTTCCATCGTGCTCCCTGGGTCCTAAAACCCCAGGGTTCTAAAACCCCCAGGGTCCTTCTTCCTCAGTCTGCAACTTCAGGGTCCAGAGATCCCTGGGGTTCTGAAGACCTGGCTCCTTAAAACCCAGGGTCCTGAGATCCCTGGGTCTTAAAACTAGAGGTTGAACGACTACATATTTTTTAAAGTCGACATTATTAACATGGTAATAGTCGATATCGACTAGTTGATGACGTCATAGGAACTCAAGGGCTCAAAAAAAGAGAAGAAATCGCAAAAAAAAAAGTCATTTATTATTTACAAAAATAAAAAAGGGACAACAAAACATTGGGCATATAGTTATGCTCCAACCATTTGTCATACTGCAAATAAGTCCCAGGAAAACCAAAACTACTGTAAAGTTGCAAAAGTGAAAGAAGCGTGCAGCATGTAAAACACAAGGTTAAGAACAGGGTGGTGGTGGATTCAGCTCTGCTGTACTTAGTTTTATTTTATTTAATTCACCACCGATTGGGTGGAATGGAATGGAATGGAAAATGGTAAATGGACTGTACTTATATAGCACCTTTGTATCTTATAGAGATACTCAAAGCACTTTACACTACAATCGGTGTCCTCATTTACCCATTCATACAGCACTCTACTAGATCTCTACAAAGCTAATTGAACAAATCATTTTAAACAGACTGATCAGAGCTTTAGATCACATTCAAACACTGATGGGACACACATCGGAGGCAACGAAGGGTTCAGTGTCTTGCCCAGGGACACTTCGGCATATGATTGCCGGTGGATTCGAGCCCCCAATTCCTGCATTGGAGGGCGACTGCTCTAACCACTCAGCCACAGCCGCCTGAGGGCAGCAGGGTGGGCAGTGGTGGAGCACCTTATATTATAATTATTATAGTTAATAATGGGTGTCGGCCACTTGCGTTCGCTGATGAAGCAGCTGGTAAGCTTCTGGTGGGTCATTGGCAGTCATACATCTGGACTTTTCTGTCTGCCTTTTAAACAGCCGGGCTCGGCACACACGTCTGCTGATGAAGCAGCTGGTAAGCTTTTGGTGAGTCACTG